CACACTGTGGATAAGTTGGCCGGAACATTTTTGCTGAAAATGTTTTTCCAAAAAAAAAACACTTGGTTGAATTCTCAGAGAGGCGATATTTTGTTGTCAAGGGGCAGGGGTAGTCAGCATTATTGGGATTATTTATGTGACTAGTATATGCTTTGCAGGTGGGATGTGTACTTGCCTTATTCGGAAAAGATCTTTAGAAGTGAATGGAATCATCACATTGTCATTTGTTAAACAACGGCTTTTGCATGTCCTTTGCAACCCATTTGATAGGCGACGCACCACGGGCGACGCACCACGGGCGACGCACGACGGACGACGCACGACGGGCGACGCACGACGGGCGACGGACGACGCACGACGCACGACGGGCGACGGACGACGCACGACAGCCGACGCACGACGGCAGATATGGAATTCCATAGCTAGAAATGAACAAGTCAGGGTGATGCTATGCAGCAACCCGTCAAAATGGGAAATAGTCCCTTAATAAAAGCTATGTTAATATCATTTTAACATTGATAAGATTATTTATACTTTGTTGAGTCACAGCACTCTGCAGCGCACACAATTTTAATTGCGAGATTCGGATTACGTTAAATCCTTCTGACACAATGACACATACTTCACAAAAAGGTATCGTCGTACCATTCAGTCAACTGTAGTTAACGTGATTACATCATGAGATATGACTTCATAGAGGAGGCACTCTTCACATATGCGCAGCAACCCCCTAAAGTTGAGGCATTTCTCAAATTGGAACATGTGCTACTGAGTAGCCAGAAATGTTTGCGTTGCCGTGCTAAAAGGAGTGCGTTGACGGATTTGGGCTGGGTGTGTAGAAAGGCACCCATAAACATGGACCCTAAAATGAAGTGGTGAACTGAGCGTGTAACGCAGCTCTAGAACATGGATGTCTTGTTTTAAAAGCGGGTAGGGGCCCTGTAGTTACGGTGTCGTCTGCAGGTTTGTTTCAATGGACAAATCAACTTTTGTAGGGGGACTTCCGAGGCGGGGGGGGGAAGCACTCATCAGCAACGACCTGGAAAACAGTGGAATTAGGTCATGGGGGAGGGTTCCAAGCAATATGTGATTTTCAGCCCCTTTGACCTTTTCCCCCAATTTCTTCCGCCTTTTCCCTGGTTTATTTCCCTTTTCATTTTTCGTGTTTTTCGAGGGTGGAGTTAAGGCGCCCTTTCACCCCTCATACCTCGCATATAGTACAGGTACAGCTTTTAACTAAAATGAACTGTACTTCGTCTTCCTAGCGGCAATCGGACCCTTTATGGGGGCTTCATCAGGTGTTTCTGCGCATGAGTTTTGTTATAAGGATAGTTTTTTGGAAGACAATTCGTAATTTTAAATTGGATTATTTTTTGGTTTTCAAACTTGAAATTCATGAGTAGTCCAGTTGCTGTTGCAATCAGTGGCGTATCCAGGATTTGAGTCGGGGAGGATGACCTGTTTTTTGAAATAATTATGTTTTTATCCATAAAGGAACCCTCCCCCTCCAAAGGGAAAGATGCTAGTGCCATTCCAAAGTTCTGGTGTTCTCAACATGTCCCTGCCTGAGCGGTTCTGAATAATGGAAACAAGTTCCCCCTCCAAAAAAAGGAAGCCACGCGTATTTACCATCTACAGATGACTGCCACTGGCTTCACCAAACCTGTTCAACTGTTGCAATTTACAGTCAGGGCACGTTCTGTCCATTGTCAGATTAATCTGTTATGAAATTAGAAAAATTGTGTGACTCTGTGAGAGGGTGGCCATTGCCAAACCTGAGATACTACATCAACAATAAGTATGTTGGATACACATGTCTGGTTCCGTCTTTTCTCGTTTTGACATTTTTTTGCAAATCTATTGACTACATTGCCCCGGGAATGGTTTGCGTGTGCTATTGTGTTTTCTGAGAGAGGAAATTAACAGATGTGTCCAATGGTATATCATACACAGTCACGTATACGGCTAGATCCATGTTTTTACCTGTGACTGTTGCTTTCATGACGAGTGTTATTTCAATAAACAGTGCGAATGCTGGTTAAACGGGATCACAGTTCATCCCGCATGCAACCTTATACTGACGTGAGCTCCTATTCATTCATAATTCGTTCACAATATAATAAGTGACTTTAGAAACGTTATCAGTGTCTTATGAAGGGTTGGGTCCCAGCCCTACAAGTTGTGTACTCAAGAGTCTACGTGCATTCTCTACCCACGTACATGTATATTGTAATGACCTATAAGCGACTTGTTTGCATTTGTTGTGTAAATACCGTTGCCCAGCCGGCTGGGTCGTATCTGAAGTGGTCTTTCTGACGAAAAAAAGGGGGGGAACATATGCCACTTGTTGAAGAGCTCTCGTTGGAATAGCACACTGCCCCGCGCTTGCAGGAATTTCTGGCAACTCCCATCTCATTTTCTGCTCGTAAAAGGTAAGTAGTATTTGGTTCAGTTTCTGTAAGTGACATGTGTTAGTCATATTATTTTCAAGTCTCTACATAAAGTATGTAACTACATTGTATATCATGTTGGCATTGACAGTGTTGTACAGCATATTATGATGCGGTTAGTGTACATCTGGTGAATTCTAGATTTGCAGCTTGGACTTGCTGATTTTAATTTCAACACACCTTGTAAAATCGGAAAACCACATGATGTACACAGCCAAAAAAACGGCAGGTCATCTTTTTGACAACGTTAAGAGATTTAAGTTCCGCGTGCCTGCTGGTGTTCAGATGGGCGGATCCAATATGTCACTGGGAGGGACAAACGAGCCACCCAGGAACCAAACTGAAAATGTTCATCACTTCAGTCTGGCAATCTATTTTCAAAAACGTACTCTCCCAAAAGTAAAAGAGAAACATGTATATGTACTGCGCTCAAGGTGGATCCGGTGACCACTCCCACCCCCGAAGTGCAAAAACAATTTACAAAAAAGGATGACAGAAAGGCAACATTTCCGTCCATTTCATTTTTTCTTTCCGTCCAAAAGCGTAAAGAAAGCCTTAAAGTGGAACTTCACCCCTCAGAAAGTCCGTAAAAGGTTACGCGTGAACATAAAAACTTAAATATTTGCCCCCCCCCCGACAATTTGGTTCGTGGATCCGCCTTTCACTGCACTTCAATGACCTGCCAGAATTGTAACATATGGCTTTGAAATTTAAATACATTTTGTGTACTTAACAGAATACACAGCCGGTTGAAAAGCCTAGCTGTGGAACCTATCCGACCACGGCGTTGCAAAGTCCATCATTCATTTCTGTTTTACAATTGCCAGATCAACACTCTTTTAAAGAATTCAATCTCAGGCCGGATATCACTGTAGCCCTTTATATTCCGAACGAGATCAGGTCGACTCTACTCGAGTCGAACAGTTCTCTGAACTTCCCATGAGTCAAAGGTCATGTATCTTCGGTACATGTGAAATTGACGCCTTCGTTCAGTTCTTGAAGAGTGTGCTCCACGTTTTTTCAAAACTCATCCCACTCTCAGTTTGAAGCCTATAGGCACACACTTTGGGGTGTTTCGATAGCTATTAACAGGGGTGAGATTTCTCAGGGTTTTTTCAGCTGATTTCAGCTTTTTTTGTTTTGGATTTCCGCTTTTTTTCCCGCACTGGCTGTGTACAAAAGTATAGGAGATTTTCACAGTTCAGCTTCCTTATGCCTTTTTTTTTTAGCAATTTTCAGCTATTTTAATCTTTGGTCAATATCACTCTTGTATCAAAAATATCTGCAGTTTTGGGGTGTTAGGAAAACCCTGGTTTTTGGTCAATTTTTAAGAAAGGAAAATAGCATGCTGGGGTCAGAAATGACCTCTTGATGGTGTGTGTGTCCTTGTAAGCTTTGTGTATATTTTGACCGTATGGCATAAAATAGACGAGACCAAACATAACACTGTGCCATTGTGCTGCAATGTTGTGCCTGCAATTCCAAGTGACTTTGATTTTGTCAGCAGTAAATGAGCTTTAATCGTAACTTTAATTTGAATGAGCTCAAACCATCGATGTTGAAGTTTGGATATGCGGTCCGATACTCTCCACTTCAAATGTTTGTGAGGGTTGGCGCATTTGTCTCTGGAGTTGAAAGCTGCAAATGGGGTGTCGGTCACTTCGCCCCATTTCCACTTCGCCCCTAACCACTTTGTCCCATCGCCACATCGCCCCATTGCCATTTCTTCCCATTGCCACTTCGCCCCATTTCCACTTCGCCCCATTTCCACTTCGCCCCATTTCCACTTCGCCCCACCGATTATCGCTCATTCTGTTCTGTAGTAATAGAAGCATAGGTCTAAATGCAACAAATAATAACATCAACGTTCTAGTAACCAACTAACGGTCGGATAGAATCCAAATTGCAAGGGCCAAAAGAATGCTTCCGATTTCGCGACCCACCCAAATTTTTTGGTGAGATCCTAACATTTTTATTAGCAACTTAGAGAAAACCAATTTAATAAATATAAGAACGGCAAAATAAATAAATCATGTTTCTTTTCTGTCTTCACAAACACCTCAGAACAACCTGTTTCTTATTATAATGTTTGTGTGTAGGGCCTACATGTTTTCCCAGTTACACTTGCAACATATGAAAAGCAACTTCAGTTAATTTCACGAGTTCTCTTCGTGTTTTGCCGTCGCTGTGGTAAAAAAAACGTGCCCAAAGCGCTGGTTCCCGCCTCGCTGCACCCATCCAAAAGAACGCGTGGTGGAGTGTGGAAACCAGTCTATTCATCCCCGGGGATCGTACATGTACGTGACCTCACGCATCGACAAAAACATCTACGGAGCTCTGGAAGTGCCACCTGACTTGTTGAGATCCTGACATACTGTTTCTTGAGATGACGACATCGTATAGGTAAGATGTCGACATCCTGAGATAATTTCTCACGGGATGATGACATCCCGAGATAAATTATCACGGAATGAAGAAATTCTAAAAGTTGGATGACGACATCCTGAGATAGGAAGTTATCATGGAGAACGACATCGAAAAAGTGGAATGATGACATTATTTGTCAAGGGTTGCATTGACAAACCAGCTTAAAAACACACAGGTGACCTGAAGTGTTTTTGTTTTCTAAAGCATTGTTCCTGTTGCCATACATGATTTTAATTACATTGACAAAACGTCTTGATGTCTCACCGCTTGTTACTAGTAGTGAAGTAGACATCACACATTTTCTGGATGTCTCAGGATGACGACATCCTGTGATAATGATATCTCATGAAGTCTTCATCCAACTTTCACAAAGTCGTCATCCCGTGATAAATTATCTGAGGATGTGATCATCCAACTTTCACGATGTCGTCATCCCGTGATAACTTATCTCGGGATGTCGACATGTTGCCTTTATTATGTTCTCATCCCCAGAAAAAAGTACGTCAGGATCTCAACAAGTCGAATGGCGCTCACTTCCAGAGCTCCGTAAACATCGCTGTTGCAAGATTTTTTCAAGTTAATTCACACAATTTAGTGTCTTGTCCCTCTGTGTATTTTCTGTGTTCATGAGCTCATTTTAGGTTGTTTTACTCGTACTTGAAGCGAGTATGTTTCCACTAACTTTCCTGTCGCAGCGCGCCGATACGCGAGGTTTAGGTAGAAAACCCATTTTCTGATAACATCTTCATGGATAGACCTTGCACTGCTGATGGCATCAGTTTTTACACTTTCTTGGGAGCAAGTAGGGCCCACCGTCTACTAAAGCACCGCAGGAAAGCACTCCCTAAAGCACAAGTGAGGCGACATCAGTACAGAGGTCTTTATGGTTGTGAGGAATTGGAACTGCAGTGGAAAGAATTCTGTAAACTGTTCGCTGTATGGAGAAAAGAATTTCAGTAATTCCTAACCGTCAGGTTTTAAAGCATAGGCCTAATCCAATGTGTCAGGCTGGCCTGCAATATCATATCAGTAGATTAAAAAGGTGTGCAGGTAAAGTCTGAATTAAAAAGAAATCTTTTGCAGTGATACTGTTTTGAATGTTGCCCGCCTGATGGGATGTCTGAATTGGAGCAAAAATTGTACGAAAAGCTGGATATAAAGCTATCAAGGATGGACTTTACACGGGTACATATTGATTTCGTATCTTGTGATATTGACTGAAGCACACCTCCGCCTCGACAATATCGGTCAATGCGAATTACTTTTGAAGTGTTGGCTTGGCGTTTTTGACCGACAAATTGAGGCATGTGCCGGCAAAGGTGACACTTAGGGAGTAATTTATTTTTCAGCACCGCCATCAGCGGAAAATATAAAGATGATAAATACGTTGACAATCCTGTATGCGAAACTAACACGCAGTGGAATTCAGTAATAAACAATATTCTGACGTTGCGCTTCTCCGACGAAGACGAGAGCTCCCTCTTCCTCAACGCGCGACGGTCGGCGTGGAAAGCACGTACCGGAGAGTCCCTGAGCGGCTAGGGACGAGTCCGTTGGGATGGAAGTATACCGTCCCCCAAGAAAGTTCAATGATCTCTGGATTTCATTGAGATGATGCCTAATAGGACTGGCTGAAACTTAGTCACGCAACCCGGACAGATCTGACTTGAAATAAACTTCGTCTGGACACCTGACTTACATACAAGAATCAAAGTGGCTGGTTTATTCATCAACGTTCCTTCAATTACACTCAACCAATACACCAGTAGAGGGCGCTATTGACGGGGAGACTGCGTGATTAAACGTGACTGGACTTCGCCCAGAGCAGCGAACACCACAATTATTTGTGGGCATCCAGTGCCTATTCAGTGGCTTAAACAAGTCTACAGGGCTTATTGTCAGGGCTACGCTACACGCAAATCACGTCACGAGATAGAAATCCGCCCTTATATCGACCACAAGCTGGTGAAGCTCACCATCTTGCGCCGCAACCCAGCGTTATACGATCTTTGGACCAAACCAAAAATGGTATAGCGCCGAACCTGCGCGCCCCTTTTATAGATCCGTGAGCCGGCCGCTGCTGCAACTACGCCTGCGCACGCGCGTTACATGTGACCAGCAGTGACTTCCGTTAACCAATCGCCCTACGTGCAAGGCAGAGCCTATGCGCCGCGCTTGCTTAACACACAGCTATGCGCGCTTTACAGCTGCCCCTGTTACTGGGCAGAGCGCCATCTATAACTTCGCACCGCGCCTCAGTGACTAGCGCCCTCTGTCCCGTCACAGTATACAGAAAAATATTGGGAGCCAAGGACGATGTTCGGTACAGCCGAATGTTCGGTATAGTGGTGTTCGGTATAGCGACGTTCCACTGTATATAGACATTGAATTATCAGGGACAAGGGTCCAGGGTTTAAGGTTAAGATGGGGAGCTTTGGTACGTCATTGTATTTAAAAGGGATGGAGAAAGCAAGGACCAGGTACTTAAGAAACGAGAACGAGGGAAACACGTTCAGGAATAATCACACTGCTTTGGGTAGGCAGGTACTCTGTTTTTGCAATTATTTTACTTTTCATTACAGGAGGTCCGTCCAAAGTCTGGCATGTTCAAGAAAAAAGACGATCTCAAGACCTTTCAGAAAGAGGCGCTTTCAGCACACAACAAGTAGGAAACCGTATACATGTTATGCAGTGTTGTCAAATTTACCTTCAAGAATACAGCAATTTTCCTGCTCTTGCTTGCTGTTTATTTTGCACGGGGATTTCAGTTCGGTATGCCTCATAAAAAAGTTAATCAAAAGCACGTTCTTGTAAGAACTATTTTGACCCTTTTTACATTTCCTGATTATTTCATCCAACTGTTAAGCGAAAGGCTAGTCATAATATTTCATTGAAATGCGAAGTTGGTGAATTGATATTATCTAATATAATACTGCATAGGCCTATGTGAAAATCGTCTAAATCTTTCATGCCATAAAATCCCCCCCAAAATAAGTTCGCTATACATCAACTGTGCTTCCAGTATTGTTTCTTAATGCAGAGCACGTTTTTGTCATCAAATCCAAGGAAGGATATTGGTAGTGATTTCTTTCTTACTCCATGACCTTGGCTCACAGATTTCGTGAAAAGCATGGCGTCCAAGCGCTGAAGTTGAGTGATGACCTCTCTGCGCACGCGCAACAATGGGCCAATCACTTGGCGAGCCTCAATTCGCTCAAGCACAGCAACAACAAGAACTTCGGGGAGAACATAGCTATGAGTTTTGACCCTAAAACAACAGAGTTCTCAGGTACAATTAATGTAATTCCACAGCACCCTCCCGGACTAAGATGGGGATAATACTATCCAGGCGCTTTCTTGTGCATTATTCTTATGCATTAAACTGCATATTATTGGATGTTCGCCAACTACTTGGCATCTTTATTGCAAACTATTTTGACAGTGCACTTTTGTAAACATTCAAAATTGTTCATACTTTTCCAGACAAGAAATGACTCTGTTATTGTGATTTCATGCAGATAAGACCATGTTTAGTTTAGCATTTCTGTTCAATATCTTTGAGCAAGGGCTGCTTGTTTGTTTATTGTCTTAGTAAAAAGAAATTTAGGAAGCGGTTCTTATGCACAGATCAAAGAAATATTAAGATTTTCTCCCTGGACTTGCATCATGGTTTGGCTTACAAATGTGGAACTTTGCATTAGCATAAAATCAAGAGGCTTCTACGCTTGCTTTAAAAATAGCAAAACAAAATTTAAAGTAAGGTTAATTGAAACATGAAGGTCTAGTTTCTAAGGTTCTTGTTAAAAATCCTTTGTATAGAACCATTAACGTAAAGGAAGGTGTACAAGGTCTGACCTCACAGTGTGTAAACTAATAGGTCTAATAACACACATCATGGAGAAGATCAATCCTTAAATTAAAGACTGATATGTCATATGCAGCAAGGTATGAGACAGAGAGAACCACCCCCTGCTTTGTGTTGGTCATTGTCTCGCAGGAATCTGGGGAATTCCTTTCAGACATCTTGGAGGGAAGTGTTAAGTAACAATAGTCTGGAATGTGTATAGGGATTGGACATGTTGGGAGGGTACCCCTCGGTCTCATTTCTTGCTGGGTATATGATATGTTCATGAAAGAAAAGCACCACTGTAACAAGTGTTGCGATGAGTCAGGTTTTTCGTAATACACTTCGGTTACACTCCATCCAAATAATTTTAAATGTCTTCATGCAAAAAAAGATTACCAGTTGACAATAGTCTTTGAGAGTGATCAGATACCTTTGGTTTTGATTGGCCAGGCCAGCAGGTGACTGACCAATGGTACGCAGAGGTCAAAGACTACAACTTCAACATTCCTGGGTTCCGGTCGGGAACAGGTAAGCGGAGTCGGCACAGTACATACAGTATCCGGTTCGTACGTGTGACACCAATTCAGTTTAAACCACGCCCACTGCACAAGATACACGACCATCGCAAGTACGTTAGTTTGCGATAAATTACCGTTAGTTTTTCTTTTGATTTTACCTGTCAAGTCATCCTGAAAGAGGCTTCAACAAAATTTGCAGCATGAAAAGTCTGAATTTAACATACATTTATATATTTTTTGTTCTGACTCCTTACTTTCAATCGTCTGATCGTATTAAGAATTGAAGCTGACACATACAGCCTCGTTTTCAAACGCGGAAGTGCGCAGATTGACGCTAAAAGCGTCGTATTGGGAGCCCTTTATACACTGCAACCCTGTAGCCTAACCAGATCATCTCAAGAAATAGGCAGCCATCCTCAGTCGTTGAAAAATTGGAAGAAAATTTGTAAATATTCAAAACAAATCTCCAAATTTGTATTCCAAGCAACTTTGCAGAATCTGAAGTATTCTCGTCGCTCATTCAAAATTCCTTAAAATTAAGCTGTCATGTGACATTAAGGCCTGAATAAAATCCCCGTCATTTGACCGGTGGGCTATTGATCACGTGGCATTGCATATTGTAGCTCAGTGGCATGTCAGTGTCTTATGTTGGGGGATACAATTTTTCTAAAAATGACTGTCCAACTTGTTTATGCCGTAAAAGAATCCACATTACCCCTCCCCGAAAGGTGGTAGTACCGTTCCTAAACTCCTGGTGCATTCAAGAAGCCTTTTGCGAATTAAATTTCAATCAAATCTGGTAATCTGAGTTCTCTAAATTCACGTAAACGTAGCAATTTGAATTTTCCATTCTAAAGACACTGTTGCTATACGTCATGATTCGGGGCAAGCTTTTGCATAGCGACCACCATCTCTGAAATAGACTGGTTCCTTTGCGCCTTTCTTATCCATTGCAAATGGTCTATTCTTGCAAGCGTCTCTAGTTTGTTTTGGTGCAATCAGATAACTCAGTGTATCAGATTTTATTCAAATTTAACTCGTGAAAGGCTTATTAAAAATGGCAGCATGTCTTCGCAGGCAACTTAATTACCCCCCTCCTTCCTCGCTGGATACGCCTCTCGCAAAGCTGCCCCGCCAAATAGACGTTTCACGGCGTCGGTTCATGATTTCATTCCATAGTCCATTGCGCAATTGGTCTGGCTGTATACTCTCTGAACTTGTTATCTGATGGAGAGATTTATTCGGGAAAAACAGGGATTTCTCCTGACGCATCCATGCACTGTTTAAAAACATACTGTAATAAATGCTTCGCTTTGGTACAATGGTAAGAATAATACGGTGCCGCATGAAATGTTTCATTCCATCTGTCATCTTGTGACAACACTATTACCATTGCACCCACGAACACTTCTCGTTTCTTATTTTGTTCCTCAGGTCATTTCAGTCAAGTAGTATGGAAAGACTCGAAAGAAATGGGGATCGGAAAGGCGGTGGCGGGAAACGGCAAGGTGTTCGTGGTGGCCAATTACCGACCGGCCGGCAACGTGATGAGCCGGTTCAAGGAGAATGTCTTCCCGCTCGGTAGCAAGAAGACGAAGGACAAGGGTCGAGGCAGGAAAGGGTCCACCAGCTCCAGCAGCAGTAGTAGCAGTAGCAGCAGCGAGGATGAGAAGAAAAAGAGCAAAGTGAGTAGTTGTGAGTGGTGGATGAGAGTTTCAATGGGTGCGCGTCTGAACCGGAGAATATGACGTAGTAATTTAGATTTTGGACGCATGACCGTACCGGAGTGTCAAATCTCCCATGACCATAATTTTAGATTGTATGCTTGAGCGAGTCACTTCAACCCTATTCGTCTCTCTACGATAAGGAATGAGAAGGAATACCGGCGTTTAATTGTTAGCTAGGCAGCAACCTGCGATGGATTGGTATCTCATGTGGGAGAAAGAAATAGTTTTAATTGTTTTATGTCAAGAAAACGGAAGATCAAAGACGGCCTGGCTGTCGATGCAAGTAAGCCGTGCGGTGTCTATTGCATGATTCAATGCACTTGCCAATGATTTTGTTTAAACCTTGTGGATTTATGAATTTATTTCATTTTCAAACAATTTATCTTCAAATGTTTTCATCGTAGTTTGGATTTCCCAAAAAGAAAGATCGGGACAGCAGCAAAATCAGCACAAAGATCTCTAGTACCGAGCTGAGAAAATTCCAGAAGGACGCCCTCGATGTCCATAATGAATACCGGTCTAAGCACGGCGTTAATTCGCTGAGGCTCTCTGACGATCTCTGTAAGAGCGCCCAGGATTGGGCAGAGCACCTCGCCAAGAAGGACCGCTTTGAGCACAGCAAACGGAACGATATCGGCGAAAATGTGGCGATGCATTATTCTTCCGCCACCACCGAATACTCTGGTAAGTATCAATTCGTAAAAATTACCCCACCACTTTACTAGGATTAAAGTTCGATTTATTTAATGGTTTGTGTGATGGAATTATTTGTTCTTAACAGGCAAGGAAGCATGCGACCAATGGTACAGCGAACTGAGCAAATACGATTTCAAGAAGCCAGGTTTTGAAAGTGGCACAGGTCTGTAAAAGGTTCCTTTTGGGGGGACGTCTGTTCAATGCAAGAATACTGTCAAATGTTTCAGTCGTCCTAAAGAGTAGGTCTTCACGTTAAAACGTGATTAATCGTGAGCTAATTGGTGTCACCTGCATGCCCTAAAACAAATGTCATTTGAAAAAACAAATAAGAAATAAGAAATAAACATCCCAACAAACAAACAGACAACATTGGACTGTTATGATCGGCGTGTTATCACTACTTATAAAAATTAAATTATATTTGGATTATAGTGGGAACATTCTGTTTTATCTTCGTTTTGAAAAAGATGGCAGAAATTGAAATGTTCGACAAAAAATGCATTCTTCCATAAGTGAGGTTTTCATCTGACTAATTACTCCCATTAACACGTTTTACTTGTGCCCTGTGAACATAATTTTTTGCAGGTCACTTCACGCAGATGGTTTGGAAGGGATCTAAGGATTTTGGCATTGGTAAAGCGATAACCAAAGACGGTAAGGTATTGGTTGTTGGCCAGTACTTACCTCCGGGTAACGTGGTGGGACGGTACGAAGAGAATGTCTTCCCAAGGGCGGACGGCTACCGACCACCGCCCAGCACTGCGCAAACCTCCAAGGTAGATCTTTTTACGAAAAAAATGCTGTTCACCTATAATAATGTAATTTCAAAGTTGTGGAAACGGTGGGGAGACTTAAGGTTCCTGGACTTTCAGTGCTGAAATGGTGTTGTAAATCAAAAGATACTGAATGAGAAACAATTTTTTAATGGGTGTTTGAACGAAGATCAAACTGCACATATACAGTCATCATTAAGATCAGTCAAATTGGGAGAGTCCGCGGAAAGAAATAAGTCGACTGTTACGACCCAGTCCAAAATCAGAACAAAATGGTCTGAAGCCTTAATGAAAAAAATGTGACTCTCTTGATTCTTTATGAAGGTGACTCGAGTTGTCCGCAGCACGCACTACGTCGTTGAGGATCCGCCGAAAACCGTGGACCACGTCACCAGGAAAGTAAGCAATAATAGTCTTTCCGACTGTTCCACCGCTGTCGGTATAGATTTTTACAGCAAAATGCCAAGGACGAAGCCTGCCGGCAGTACATTATAATACGCACCTGATTTATGTAGCAGCTTTGGCATTATTAGGCTGGGTCACGGGCATAACGAAAGGCCTGGCCCCCCTCCAAGCCCCCCCCCCCAACGAGATAAAATCAAGTCAACGGATGAATGGATACTGAACAAGGCTAACAAAAGCTTGCCCCAAAAAACCACTGAAAGCTGGTGCCCAAATAAGATGCTGGTGCCCCCCTTGTGCCCCCCACTAGTAAAATCCTAGAAACGCCACTGCTTGCGATATGAAGTAGGGAAAGGATTAATTTGAGGATGTCCGGGGTTCGAATCTCAGAGGATGTAGGCCTATCTCTCTTTCTCTGCTGCTTTTTTCTATTTATAATAAGCATTCATTAATTTCAATAAAGAAATTAAATGGAACGGCATTTGAACCCGTGACATCCGGAAGACCATGCTCTTCCAAATAAGCTATTCTCTCCTATACGTTGGTGTCTCTTCTCAATTGTCAGTATCTTTGTTCAGGGGTTTTTCTTATCTGTTCTGTATGTGTCCTGCTGGGAAAATCAATGTGAGCGGTGATTACTGCCATATAACCTCGAAGTTTATTTCATTCAACGGAAAACAACGCTCGCTTCAACACTTTTAACGAGATAAGCCTCTTCCATCTCGTGATACGATAACATACATCCTCCTATGCTTCTAATATTGACATTTTTCTGTCAAAACCTTGCAATTTATTACCAGCAGTGGTTAGTCGAAGCGGACGGCGTTAGACTCTAAAATGAAAACAATACATATACTGTTTTTATATGGTCGCATTGTTAGAGCCATGTACATATGACTTACTTCAGACGGATTTATTGTGCTCAGCAATGGCGTAATAAAGGGGGAAATTTCTAAGGGGACTCAGGGATAATCACGTTTGTTTCGGAAGGGCACCAAAAGCCGAAGAACTGCCTAACTGCATTGATACCCCTCGCGCCTTTTGCATGTTCGTGCCTGTGTTCATTTCATTTGAATTTCGCTGCACTCCTATACATGTATCTTTGATGCAGCGTTGCTCCCCACAAAGTTATGTCTTGGATTCAGTCTTTCTAAAGCTGTTCTGTTTCTTTCTCCACTCAGGTTGGTGGTGTCAAGCTCAAAGATGCCGACTTGTCCCCCTCCGACCTCCGGACATTCCAGCGAGATGCCCTCGAAGCTCACAACAAGTACCGGGCCCGCCATGGCGTCCGTAGCCTGAGGCAGTCCGGGGAACTGACGAGGCGCGCCCAGGACTGGGCTGCCCACCTAGCCGAGCACGACTTGTTCAAGAACAGCGGTAACTCCGATGTCGGGGAAAATATCGCCATGCATTACTCCAGCGCCAGCGTCGCATTTTCAGGTAGGCGTCACCAAGGCCCTGTCACACCTTGACGATTTAGCCGACGTATGAAAAAACTGGTGAATACGCTGACATACGCTGATTTATCGATGTTTTTTCGATTTTTTTTTCAAATTTGGGCATGTAAATAGCGTATTCATTACGAGGTGGACACATACACATGTAAATAACGTATTAGTAACTTACACAGAACATTTCGATAACTCATTGATAACTTATAATTATACGGTAGCTGTAAGTTAGAAACACGTTCACTAAGTGGTCGTCCGTAACACGTCAAATACGCCTACATACGTCAGTATGCGTACCACGTCCAATTTAAGTTACACATATGTGGGCCTATTTTCAAAACACGTTACTGATAGATTAGAAATAAGTTTTGGGTAACGAGTAAATTACAAGCAGCGTGTGTGGATATGTGCCAACGATCCCAAAGCTTACCTACAACTTACAAACCGCGTATGCTTGACGTATGAGCCATATATACGCTGACATACCTTCAAGACTTATCTACGCTGACATACGTCAACATTTTTACGCGTGCATAAAATTTGTCGACGACCTCGCCATACACACGTACGTACCAACGTACTTCAGCGTGCTCTTAAGTTATACCAAACTTTAATGCCTATAACTTATTCGACGTACGCCAGCGTATTCACCAAATTTTTCATACGTTGGCACATAGGCCTATGCTGGCTAAATCGTCAAGGTGTGACAGGGCCTTTAGAAAGAAATGAGGCACTCTTGAATTCTGACGCAGGTGGGACCCCATACCCTTGAGATTTCAGTTTGATGGCTCTGTGCGCATTCTGATACCCAAAACTGCTGTAAAATTTCCTAAGTACCTATATTATACATTCACCAATTTGCCTGGAACTTTGTGGATGTATTCAACAGGGAACGTCGAAGTTTTGTAAATTCAGCCTGGATGTGACATTGCCAAAAAAGGGGCCTTTTTGATGTTCCTAACTTGCATCGGCTGCATTAAATATATACATGTTTTATTAGCAGGTAAACTTGACTCCCCGCAGCTAACCAAGGTGTTTTTATTATGCAGGCGACGAAGCAACTGATATGTTTTACCGCCAGATCGAAAAGTATAACTTTAAGAAGCCTGGGTTCACGTCGGGCGCAGGTGAGACCATCTTATCGATCTTTTGAAACTTGAACCAAGAACTCGCAGTGCAAGTGGAGTTTGGACTTTTAAAAAAGTCTCTTCCTTTTTTGAAAGTCATAGACCATGGCGGTCCCTGTCAGAAAATCGCTTAACGTACAGAGCGAAGCAGCCCCCGGGTATCAAGAAACTTCTTGGACTTTATAGAAAACAAACATGCACTCTAAAAATAAAAGTAAGGATGTGCCTGTTGTATTTTTTTTTATTCATTGGCTGGGTGTAATTCACGTCACTGCATTCGTAATTTCGAGTGTCTTTCTCCCAAGCGATCCAAGGATCCCTTGATACTGTCCTGGTCCATGCCACAGGCTGAGCTAACCAACTAACTCTTCAGTTTTGTCACTCACCACTTCCAGGTCACTTCACCCAGCTAGTCTGGAGAGACAGCAGGGAGATGGGTATAGGCAAAACGATCACCAAGGAGGGAAAGGTCATAGTGGTTGCCTTCTACAGTCCACCCGGCAACGTCATGGGCCAGTTCGACACCCAGGTCTCTAAAGCAGGCAAATAGGACTGCCAAGGAGGAAACACAATAGGGCAGCAACGATACCGATCCGTGTATGAAAGCGAGAGAGGGCTCTCCTCCTTGTGTATCACGAAGTTATTGTTCGTTCGATTTTTATATTTGTTTGAAAATGTTTATATATTTTGTTCTATTGTAAATTTCTTGAAAAAGAAACTATTCGAAAATTTTTAAATAATGTTTTTTCTATTGGCTCTTTTGTTTTATTTGAAACTTAACTTCAAAAAATTCCGTGTTAGCACTCAAGTGATTTGGTGAGCAAAATTAAAATACATCTTAACTGGAAAGTAATAGTGTTGTAGTTGTTTAGTTCAACGTTCTGTTAGGCCAGCCCCAAAAGGGTAAAAACTGCGATGGCACCGCATACACATGCGCATTCTGAAGTTTGACGTGCGCGTGCATTTGGCATATTCACAGCACCTTATTAGACGGAAACGCATGACACCCGCGCGTGCCACCAGTCCACCGGCGTTGTGCCACAAATGACCTCTTATTCTTTTTTGCCAAATTACACTGCGTGCATGTAATACTTTGCGTAAGGTGTAGGTGCAATAATTTTCAAATGGAATCGAAATCAATGCCAGTGAGCTAGTTTGGTATTTCAAACAAAGCAAGGTCGTTCGGGAACAAAGCACGCGCTCAAGTCTGCTTAGGGTCTCGTTGATTCATTGATCTCCCCTGTAAAGACGCAATGGAGATCAATGGGCATCAGACCTCGCACGCGCACAGGCCGCCGAATGACATCAGTCACACTTCATTTTGGGCATGCACTGTTTAAATCCAAACTGGCTTACTTCAAGTTCAAATCTCGTTTTTAGTTGTGCACGAGTCTTAATAATCGTACTCGCGGAAAAGTCGTAAAACACAAGTTACTTCAGTATTGATGTGTCTGAGACTTAAGTTGACTATTTAGAACGGGTACTGTAGGTTATTGGCAAGGTGTGGTGCCTCGCTCTGTAGGATTAGAAATACTATACTTCCTGTACATCATAGTTAACCAAGTGTTTCATAATAATAGTATTGGTCAGGGCTGATCAAAGATGTAGCAGGCTGCCTTGGTTTGACAGACTGGTACTAAGTAATGAAGACAGTACAAGAGCCAGTCTGATTTTTTTGTTTGTGCGTGCGTGTGCTGTATATTTTTCAAATAGCTCATAACAATTTTTGCCCGACACATAGGCTTCTATAGTGTTCCTTTAGAACCTCTTAATGCAAGTTGAGTTGCCATTCATTTGGGCCCGATCAAAATACCAGTTTTTATTGGGGAGAATTGTATAGTTTTTCTTAAAGCTAGAAAATGTGATAATTTGTTTTAGAATTCTGTTACAAGTATGCCTTTTTTAAAAATTATGGTGGATGCTCTAATTTTCTTTTGAGTTATAGGCCTACACGCGCCGAGTATGCAAAATTAGCACATGAATTGAATTATTATTAGATGATAATTCGTTACTTGAACCCACCCATTTCCGTTTCAGTATGATTTGCCAATTGTAGATATGAATGTTTTTGAAATGTTTTTAAATTCCAATTACGCAAATATTGAAATTGTGAAAATTGAATATTTTAATAATTACATGAAATGAATGACTGAAGTCGAATGTTTACGAATATGTAATCATTTAAATTTCTTGAATAAAATGTACAATTCGATTGTAATTGTTTTTGTCCATTCTCTGATTATTTACTCCTTCGGTTTTGATTCAACGCAAAGGTACGCAGAGCACCGGCGGCCGCGGCAAAACGATTTTCGAGGTGGGGGAGGGAGTTGTTGAGACCATGAGGCAGTCAGCCATTTAGGGTTCGATCCATGAAGCCCCATCCACTTATAGGACCTGCAAAAAGTGTGTGTGGGGGAGGGGCAGGCCCTAGTTGAAAAGGCGGGGGGGGCACTGTCCCGCTTCCGCCAAGTGATGCGACGGGTCGCCTCAACATGCAAGGCAACATCATTAGGTTTTTTCAAACAAAAATTAAATGATTTTCATTTTTATCATCTCTCCACTTCCTTTACATTTTTGGTGAGTTAGCCATTTTTTTAACATTCGACAAAGCAATACCTTCACCCCGACGACTAAATTAAGGTTCCCTAGCCTGCAAGCAGCCAGTTTTCAGTCAGCATTTCTCTATTTTCCTCGCAAAAAGGGCCCATTTTCAACCATAATTCTATTGAGTCTGCCCACAAATATGGAAGCCCCCAAACCAGGGAGTTCATCCTGGGCTGTATTCACACAATCCTATCGTTTCTCTTGCAGCCAAACGGTCCTTTTGTAAAAAAGGTTGTTCACTGCTCGTGCAGAAACTCTCACAGGTTGTAATCGTGGAACCCTCGGAGTTTTGGCAAGGTTTGAGCGCGCGTAAATAGCGCCCTCTGGAAAAAATATTTACATGACCGATTTCCTTTTGTGGGGCTCTCTGGCCGCTGCCTATTACATTGTGTTCGTACGGCTGGCGAAACTTGACAGAAATAGCACCCGTTGTTTTCCACAATTTACCTCATTACATATGCATTTGCTTCATTGCTCAAAGAAGGTTGCATTTTCATTTTGTTTTTAGTTATAGTGTTGATTATTTTGGTGTTTTCATAGCTGTGTGAGACATTAAACACTTGGTGAATTATCTCTCGCTTACTGCCAGCCAGTAATGCTCCACCATCCTCAGAATAAACAAAAAACGGACCGTGCAGGCCCTATTACATTCAAAATCCACCCCCAGCACATCCTGGTTCAAGTGTAGCACATTCAACTTTGGTTTTGGTCAAAACCAAAAAAGACAATTTAAACCTGCAAATAAGAAAGCCGTATATGAGATAAAGTCGCTTGTTTTTGTTTAGTTTTAGACGCATTTTCACACATCGCCGGTGGATTGCAGCCCCTTCATTTCGGACTGTAACCTGGCATTGGAAACCTTGTACACAACCGTCCGCGTATAGATGCCTTCTACAGTCATTTGAAGAAGTTTGAGACTACCTGGGATTTTATGGGTGTTTCCGTCCATGGGCCTGCATTCCTTCGTCTCATCCGACGATTACTTGTTTACTACAGTTGCCCATAACATGAAAGCAGTGATATTAGTCCATTTGAATGACAGCTTTTGCCAAGACAGGTCTTGTATACATGTGCACACACTGCAGCATGGGTAAAAAAGCCAGTCTAAGTCAGGTTCAAAGGGCTACTCTGAACACTGGCGTATATAAAAATCCAGGACTTGCAGCGCCTTTATATGAAGAAGAAGCCAACCAGCGGCCATTTTACCGAGCCAAATACAAATGCGTGGGTTGGCTACCTCTTCTAGCTTTGTATTCGGCTCGGTAATGGCCGCGAGTGGATTCAATGATCTCTATAGGGCATTGCGAGTCCAGATATTATTATACACGTCTGTGACTCTGAACGTCAAATTAGTGAGAGCCCTGGTTGCAGTAAGACTGCTGTGCACAATGCCATGGCTCATGTTTTTGACCAGATCGAAAAGGCACGGTCATCCAAGAAAAAATACCACTTGTGATGACCCCACATGAGTTCACATCAAGTAGATATAATCTACCGTGGTTTAGTAATGCGCTTAATTAAGAGAAATACGGACGAAAAAGACGTCTCTACAGGAAAACAAAAAGGGAAATAAGGAAGATTGGCAAACCTTCAAACAATCTCACAAGGCTTTGAAAAACCAACATCCGCTGGGCAAGAACCCAATATATAAATTCATATCTCTACGAAGATTTTAAGGCAAATCCCCAAACCTTCTGGTCATTCATAAAAAAGTTTCAAAGGGAGAATGTTGGCGTATCAGGGTGTCTTCACAAACGAAATTCAAGCAACAACAGATGTCATAATTCATGGAGATGTATGTCCTGGAATCTCTCCGTTGCAGATTTCTGTTAAGGGTGTCGAAAAACAACTTAAGGAACTAATTACTCCATATAAAGCACCGGGGCCAGATAGTATTCCGCCATGGTTGTCTTGTTGCAGAACCACTAGCACCTGTTCTCCAAGACCAGTTTCAAAATTCAGTGAATCATGGATAGTACCATCAGCATGGAAGACAGCAAATGTGATTGTTACTTCAGTCTTCAAGAAAAGGGCACGTTCATATCCTGCAAATTACCGTCCAGAGTCTCCCCACGCGGGGCGCAACCCTAATACAGTTGGCGTAAGACAGATACAGCGAATTGCGAAGTTCCTCGCCGGAGTTCTTGTCGAAAGATCAAAGGAGTTTCGCACTCCACTGGGACAAATGTTAGTGTAAGCACCATTTCTCGTCTTTTTAAAATAAATAAATAAATAATAAATGTAAGTTTCAAAGACTCATAAGCTAAAGTTTGGTTTCCTTCGAGAAGTTCAAGTTACTGCTTTTTATATCGTTGGACTTAAACGTTTGCAAGTGACTGTAAATCGAAGAAAGTCACAGTACATTGGACAAAATGGGATGCATGCTATTCCGCAGGGATAGGAGAACTTGACTTCACTCTCAATGAGCAAAACGGTTGGGTTGAAGTCCCGGCCGCAGAGAAGGAAGACCGGGAAAGTGCCATTACGCCATAACCTGAATTCCCAGATTCGTTTTTTCATCCCCTCATCTTTCTTTCTCCATGTGAAAACTTAACTCTCAACAAGAGATGACTATCGTCAGACTTGAAATTCATGAGTAAGAGGGCGCTGGAGGTACACGTCGGGTAGTACGGTGCATGCAGCAGAAATAGATAAAAGCAGGCACATCGTAATTGAACACGCGCCACGAGCACGTATCGGGCTGTTCTTCAGTGAGCGTTGATCGAGCTGGAAATCCAACGAGACCGTTAGGCCATGGAGCTGTAGTTAGGCCTACATATTTTGAACTACCGAAAGCAGGCAAGAATGATTCTAGCATGATGGACAGGTGAGATCGATGTAGTCCGAGTAACCAGGACCATGCTAGGACTCTTCAAATAGCGATTTTTGTACTCATTGGGCCAAGCTCGTCTCTGTTCCGGCGGTGAATCACCGTGCTGTTTGCAAGCTGGTTCGCGCTGGTTAGTGTCGGTGAACCAACCAAGGTCGGAATATGTACTAAGTATTATGTTGTGTACGAGTGTGTGAGTACATGTACATTGCACGAGTGTAGCAGATGATTGTGAACATTGAACCATGGAGGTAGAATAGTGAAGTAATGTTAGTAGTACTGTGACCTTCATGTACATGTACCGGGAGTGCAACATTAGCTTTATGGTACTATTACAACACAGTGCTTGGGCTCACAGCAGAACAAAGCCTCCATGTGCACAAACCTATAAGTTCGAAATTTCAACTAGTTTCTGTACAGCTATTTGCATATCCGCTTAAACTGATGCATCAACATGATCAAGAAAGCTGCCCCAAACCACATAATGTACGTGATGTGTAAGCCCTAACTAATCACTAAATGATTAGATTACAAATACAATGCAAAAAAAGGCAAGTGCATAATGATAGACCTAAAAGTACATCATAGAGTTAGGAACACAGCAATGGTCATGCACAGTTATCTAGTAACTGCTGACAGAAACTGTGCTTGTAAATTATTTACTTCTTCATTATATTTAAAATTTACTATTCTAAATTCAATCCATTTTATTTCATTGTATGAACTACAGGTACACGCAAATTCACAATGCCTGTTCCCACGAGGTGTCAAAACTTCTTTGTGTGGGGAATGAGAAATTAACGTTCTATAATGAGCTTTTTGCGAGTTAAATTTGAATAAAATCTGGTATACTACATGCATGTTCTTTAAATTCACGGGAACATAATTTGAATTCTCCATACTAAATGACTCTTTTACTTGAACCCTGTGATTCGGGGCAAGCTTTATATTTGCTTAGTTACATACAAACGACACGCCTTCCATCAACTGTACACTGCTTTAAAATTAATGGATAAGAATGGCACAAAGGAACCAGTCCATTCCACAGATGGTGGTCGCTATTCAAAAGCTTGCTCCAAATTATGGGGTATGGGCCCTGAGCGGGACCAAGAGAGGGTGCGATTTCCCTAGCAACGGAGACTCCCTTGTAGGAATTTCACTTTGCTGGTTCACAAACATGACAAATAACTATCAGATGCATGCGTAGCGTACATCTCACTACCAACAAAACAAACGTTCCCGACCAGCATGGATCTTTTCAACCGATAAGGGGGGGTGCTTCCACTCAAGGCAGATAGCAAGAGTGAATTTGGTCTGGAGAATTCAAATTGTTGTGTTCATTTGCAATCAGATAACTCAGTTTACCAGACTTCATTCAAATTTAACTCACAAATGGCTGTACATGGAGCTTCGAACCAAAGTATGTACACTGATTACTGTATTAGAAATTCACAATGGCCGCTTTGTCAGGTTAAGGAAGACAGGTTGGTCAGTGCTACAAAAAATATCTAGGCAGGTTAACTGCTCCAGAAAGCTGCTTTGCATCACATGTTGCAGACAAATGTCAAAGGTCTCTCTACCACTCCCTGGGATGGACTTTGATGGAATGTTGTTTTGGTACATACATGTATGTGTATAGTTTTTGCCGATTAGGGCAGTGGTTGACAAAATGAGGATTGCCATTGCTGTAAAAACAAAAGAACAATTTAAAATGTGTAAAGAATCTCGGGAAGCTGTTAATATATTGAATTACAGGCTTTGTCCAATATCCAAATACTCGATCGATTATTGAATATTTGAATATTATTGTCCAAATTTTAATATTCAAATGAAAAAATTCATGAAAAGGAAGGGAGAATTTTCTTTTGTTTGAAATGAGAAAATTGCACTAGGGAGGCTTGTATCAAGCGGATTCAAATAAAAAATGAAAGAAATCTTACTACGGTTCAAAAAGTACATTATTCATTAAAAAATTTTAAAGGAATAGAAATTTTCAGCTGGGCAAGAAGTCTTGTTCGTTTCTTAAATCTTGCTAAATTGTGACTGGAGATACTCCTGGAGTTGAGAAGCTATTGTAGTGATTGAAATTGTGTGCTATTGCAACTAATCTTGTATATATGATTTGTTCATCAACAATCTTCCTGTTGGTACGACCAAATAGTTGAATATTCGATCGAATTGAAGGTCAAATGTTCAAACAGTAAATTATTCCAATTGACTCAGCCCTATTCAAGATCAGTGGGGGCGCCAGGCCTTGATGGCTGTGGTTGCATGTGTGGGGCAAGGGAGAATCGTGTGGATGCAAATGCGGAGTTGTAAAAAGACAAGGTTGATTGCCCTGTTGTATGTAACAAAATTTTTGTCGGTGCAAACAAGGGTGCAAGTGGCTTTTCAGTGGGTGCATTTGCACCCACGTGACATCCCGTGGCACCACCACTGTTCAAGATACATCTATGTACTGTGCGCCTTATAAGTGATTTAATGTTTATCATTACTATTAAATCTGAATCGACATGTACGCGTGTTAAATACCCAATGCTAGATGAAACCCACAAGTGTCCTTTAACACTGATGAAGCAAACATGGAAAGGATTCCCATACTTCCCTGCAGTGACTTTATCAGCCATCAGAAAGTGAAAATATCGAACGTCAAATTTGCAGGGAAAAATATGGAAGCATTGACTGACTCAACACTTAGAATAGAGTATGCTAGGGTTGGTGTGCACCATACAGGTTGTCAACCTTCAGGTATATGGAACCTTTTCTGTACATATATTGATGTATAATGTACACAAAATGTTGAACCTGTTGAATTTTGATTGAATGGGTACTGTGGCCCTCTCACTTTTTACCATCAAGAATTTCAAATGAGTACTGTATTTTTAAAGATTATGTAATGATAGAAAGCTTCTTTGTGTGATTGAGTACTGTTGCAGCAGTACTGTTGCAGCAGGACTTACTGTTGAAGTCTGTTTGATTAGGTAAAGCACTGTGAAGTAAGAGTGTTTTTCCAAGGTGTTGAAGTTTGTGTGATTGGGGAAGGTTAGGTCCAGCAACCCTTGGGTGGTTAGGGTTAATTATTGGGACAAATACAATGTGGGTGGCTGCGACTCTAGCATTATCTGCGTCCATTCTCCTGAGCCAGTCATCCAAGCACACATTCATTCCCATTA